TCCTGGGGGACAAGATTGAGGACCCCAATGGAAATAAGTTAGACAGTCCTCGATGACGCACTGACTTTCTTGGGTTATCCTGGGTGGCTAACCCTCCGGGGTTAAAAATCCAAACGAAATCTCTCTCCTAAGGAAGGAACGAATGAAGGAAGGAGGGAAAGAATGAAGAAAGAAAGAAAGAATGAAGACAGAAACAAAGGTAGGTAGGAAGGAATGATGACATTTACCTAGGATAACTACCTAACACAATTGTCTGCTACTACTATGAAGAAAACTGCTCAGACGAGGTGTTTTGTGTGCACATAAAAAAATACCCACAAAAACACAGACACTCGTTTTATGTGTGAGGAGTGTAAAACACCATTGTGTATAAAACCATGTTTCAAAGAGTTCCACAAGCTGCAGAACATGTCCAGTGACTGTACATTTGTATATACAGTGGACCCCCGCATAACGATGGCATCACATAGCGATTAATCCGCATACCGCTTGCTTTAATCACAAAAATTTTGCCGCGCATACCGATTAAAAACCCGCTCACCGATTTTCGTCCAAGACGCGTCCAATGTGCGCCCTCAGCCAGCCTCACGTGTGCCGCCCGTGCCATTGTTTACCAGCCAGCCTCCGCGGTAACATCCAAGCATACACTCGGAATATTTCGTATTATTACAGTGTTTTCGGTGCTGTTTCTGGAAAGTAAGTGACCATGGGCCCCAAGAAAGCTTCTAGTGCCAACCGTACACCAATAAGGGTGAGAATTCCAATAGAAATGAAGAAAGAGATCATTGATAAGTATGAAAGTGGAGTGCGTATCGCCGACCTAGTCAAGTTGTACAAGAAACCCCAATCAACCATCGCTACTATTGTGGGCACCAGAAAGAAAATCAAGGAAGCTGTTCTTGCCAAAGGTTTAACTGTGTTTTCGAAACAAAGATCGCAAGTGATGGAAGATGTTGAGAGACTCTTATTGGTGTGGATAAATGAAAAACAGCTAGCAGGAGATAGCGTCTCTCAAGCGATCATATGTGAAAAGGCTAGGAAGTTGCATGAGGATTTAATTAAAAAAATGCCTGCAACTAGTGATGATGTGAGTGAATTTAAGGCCAGCAAAGGTTGGTTTGAGAGATTTAAGAAGCGTAGTGGCATCCATAGTGTGATAAGGCATGGTGAGGCTGCCAGTTCGGACCACAAAGCGGCTGAAAAATATGTGCAGGAATTCAAGGAGTACATAGACAGTGAAGGACTGAAACCTGAACAAGTGTTTAATTGTGATGAAACAGGCCTGTTCTGGAAGAAAATGCCAAGCAGGACCTACATTACTCAGGAGGAAAAGGCACTCCCAGGACATAAGCCTATGAAAGACAGGCTTACTTTGTTGATGTGTGCCAATGCTAGTGGTGATTGCAAAGTTAAGCCTTTATTAGTGTATCACTCTGAAACTCCCAGAGCGTTCAGGCAAAAGAATGTCCTCAAGGATAATTTGTGTGTGCTGTGGAGGGCAAACAGTAAGGCATGGGTCACTAGGGACTTTTTCTATAACTGGTTACACCATGCATTTGCCCCCAATGTGAAAGATTACCTAACTGAAAAGAAATTAGAACTTAAGTGCCTCCTGGTGTTAGACAATGCCCCTGGTCATCCTACAGACGTGGCAGAGCGACTTTATGGGGACATGAGCTTCATTAAGGTGAAGTTTTTGCCTCCTAATACCACTCCTCTCCTGCAGCCCATGGACCAGCAGGTTATTGCAAACTTCAAAAAACTGTACACAAAAGCTCTGTTTGAAAGGTGCTTTGTAGTGACCTCAGAAACTCAACTGACTCTAAGAGACTTTTGGAGAGAGCACTTTAATATCCTCAATTGTGTAAACCTTATAGGTAAGGCTTGGGAGGGAGTGACTAAGAAGACCTTGAACTCTACTTGGAAGAAACTGTGGCCAGAATGTGTAGACAAAAGGGATTTTGAAGGGTTTGAGGCTAACCCTGAGAGGATTATTCCAGTTGAGGAATCCATTGTGGCATTGGGAAAGTCCTTGGGGTTGGAGGTTAGTGGGGAGGATGTGGAAGAGTTGGTGGAGGAGGACAATGAAGAACTAACCACTGATGAGCTGATAGATCAACTTCAACAGCAAGAGGCCAGACCTGAGGAAACTGGTTCAGAGGAGGGGAGAGAGAAATTGAAGAAGTTGCCTACTACAAAGATAAAGGAAATCTGTGCAAAGTGGCTTGAAGTGCAAACCTTCATGGATGAAAATCACCCTCACACAGCTACTGCAAGCCGTGCTGGTGATTATTACACTGACAATGTTGTGAAACACTTTAGGGAAGTCATAAAGGAACGAGAGGTACAGGCCACTATGGACAGATATGTTGTGCGAAAGAAGTCCAGTGACTCTGAAGCTGGTCCTAGTGGCATTAAAAGAAGAAGGGAAGTAACCCCAGAAAAGGACTTGCCACCTCAAGTCTTAATGGAAGGGGATTCCCCTTCTAAACACTAACACTCTCTCTCCCCTCCTCCCATCCCATCAATCATCACCAGATCTTCAATAAAAGTAAGTGTCATGTAAGTGTGCATGCCTTTTTCAGTTTGTGTGTATTAAAATTAACATTTCATGTGGTAAAAAAAATTTTTTTTCATACTTTTGGGTGTCTTGCACGGATTAATTTTATTTCCATTATTTCTTATGGGGAAAATTCATTCACATACCGATTATTTCGCATAACAATTACCCCTCTTGCACGGATTAAAATCGTTATGCGGGGGTCCACTGTAGTATATTATAGAACAATAGTAATAAACAATTTTTTGTATCAGTTGTTTGTGTAAACAAGTTTTGTAAACAATATATTGATAATTATGTCTGTGTGCTTATTGTGTTGTATACAAAGTGTATATATGTACATTGCACCTTACTTTGGTCTCACAGGCCACATAAGTTATCTGAAAAAATAAAGTAGTGGAAAAAGCAAGATACCTTCAAATGGGAGTAAAAAAAAGTTTACCAGGAGAGCGGCATTTGCCGCTGTTGCCATACACAGCTCATTTTCAGACAACTTTACGCCTCTATATCTCCATAAGTACTGATCGCAAAAATTAGTTTTGGGGCTTAAAACAATTAGAAAATTAATCTTATCAATTTCATAGGAAAAAATAATTTTTTTTTTAATATTCTTCGACACCAGGAGACTTTAGAATTTGGGGTTGCGACAGTCAAAGGGTTAAAAAAATATATAAACATCTCTAAAAAAAAAAAATTGAAACAATAATACATGCATGAACATGCAATTAATATTGGCTACTCTATATATTTGTCTACACCCCAACTAAGAACTCGTTAACATATCAAGCTCGACAAGTCATAGCACAGTAATTCTCATATTTAAAAACAGCAATGCACCTAATCTTCCTATAAAGCTTTACATATAAATAACAACACCTCTTAGGTTTAAAACACTAGAGTTTAATGTTTTTTTATTAACACATCGACCGATTCCCACCAAGGTAGGGTGGCCCGAAAAAGAAAAACTTTCATCATCATTCACTCCATCACTGTCTTGCCAGAGGGGGTACTTTACAGTTAAACCATTTGTCTCCATTCACTCCTATCAAATACGCTCACGCACACTTGCTGGAAGTCCAAGCCCCTCGCACACAAAACCTCCTTTACCCACTCCCTCTAACCCTTCGGAACTAGGCCGACCCCGACCCTGCCTTCCCTCCACTACAGATTTCTATATTCTAAGTCATTCTATTTTAGATGTGTGTATGTATATACATGCATGTGCATGCCTGTGTAGTGACCTTAGTGTAAGTAGAAGTAGCAAGATATACCTATAATCCAGGATGTTTATGAGACAGAAAAAAAGACACCAGCAATCATACCATCAAATAAAACAGTTACAGGTTTCTATTTCACAGTCACCTAGCAGGATGGTAATACCTCCCTGGGTGACTGCTGTCTACCAACCTACTACTAATGTCTACTACTACCAATGTCAATTATAATCACATTAGTAATACCGTATATCGTCTCATTTAAAGAGGCAGAAGGGGGTAATCTGGAAGGAATGAAATAATGCGCAATATTTATTTTTTATTATCACACTGGCCGATTCCCACCAAGGCAGGGTGGCCCGAAAAAGAAAAACCTTCACCATCATTCACTCCATCACTGTCTTGCCAGAAGGGTGCTTTACACTACAGTTTTTAAACTGCAACATTAACACCCCTCCTTCAGAGTGCAGGCACTGTACTTCCCATCTCCAGGACTCAAGTCCGGCCTGCCGGTTTCCCTGAATCCCTTCATAAATGTTACTTTGCTCACACTCCAACAGCACGTCAAGTATTAAAAACCATTTGTCTCCATTCACTCCTATCAAACACGCTCACGCATGCCTGCTGGAAGTCCAAGCCCCTCGCACACAAACCTCCCTTACCCCCACCCTCCAACCCTTTCTAGGCCGACCCCTACCCCGCCTTCCTTCCACTACAGACTGATACACTCTTGAAGTCATTCTGTTTCGCTCCATTCTCTCTAATGTCCGAACCACCTCAACAACCCTTCCTCAGCCCTCTGGACAACAGTTTTGGTAATCCCGCACCTCCTCCTAACTTCCAAACAAAACGAATTCTCTGCATTATATTCACACCACACATTGCCCTCAGACATGACATCTCCACTGCCTCCAGCCTTCTCCTCGCTGCAACATTCATCACCCACGCTTCACACCCATATAAGAGCGTTGGTAAAACTATACTCTCATACATTCCCCTCTTTGCCTCCAAGGACAAAGTTCTTTGTCTCCACAGACTCCTAAGTGCACCACTCACTCTTTTTCCCTCATCAATTCTATGATTCACCTCATCTTTCATAGACCCATCCGCTGACACGTCCACTCCCAAATATCTGAATACGTTCACCTCCTCCATACTCTCTCCCTCCTTTTCTGTGTTACCCTGCACTGATAGAAGACAGCCACCGAGATTATAAAAAAAATTACCTTTTTACGCTTTAATACACCTGATCCTTGCCCATCTGAATCAGACATCATCTTGCGTTTCCTGGAAGAATTGCCTCTATCTGAACCACTCCCGGATCCAGAGCGAGATCTGGAATGACCACTCCTACTTTTTACACTGAGACAGAAAGCTTAATTTAATTAAAAAATACAACAGCAAAAAAATGTTGTGCAATACAAAATGAGGAACACATTGTTCACTTCCCTGACTGGAATCACAGGCTATACAAGATCCCACACAGGATCTGTACATTATGTACATTACATTAAAGAACTAAAGGATGTACTAGATGGAATGAATAGGTATAAAATTTTGACAAAATGAAAAAACATGAATGCAGTACAGTGGAGCCTCGGTTGTTGACAGCATTATTTGTCAAACAAATCGACTTTCAAATGAGGAATTCAAGAAAAAATGTCCTGGTTTTCATATGTTCTCTTGGTTGTCAACTGACAACGTGAATGGCTCAGATCATGTGCTCACAGAATGAGCACTGGACAATGAGTTGACAGCAAGGGGAACTTGAAACTGAAACCCTTACTTGTTTATCATTTGGAAAATCCACAAGTTTTTAAGAACAATGTTATGAAAAATAAACTGGCTGTAATGTGGAGGGCCAACATGAAAGCTTGGGTAACAAGACAATTTTTTATTGCATGGATTCATGAGGTCCCAAAGTCAAAGACTACTTCATTAAAAGCAATTGCCACTCAGGGCCCCTTTACTTACGGATAATGCTCCTGCTTACCCTCCAAGCTTGGAAAACAAGTTGCTAGAGGAGTTCAGTTTTATAACTGTAAAGTTCTTGCCTCTTGACACCACTCCACCCATCCAGTTCATGGTCCAGTAGGTCATTTCTAACTTTAAGAAACAACAAAGCACTTTTTGTAAGGTGCTTTGAAATCACTTCAGAAACAAATTTAACCCTCAGGGAGTTCTGGAAGGACCATTTCAATATCCTCACCTGCTTGAGGCTTATAGACAAAGCCTGGGGAAATGTGTCTTCCAGGGCCATGCAGTCAGCACAGAAGAAATTGTGGCCTAACTTTGTGGCAGCCAGGGACTTTGAAGGATTTGAAGATGAGCCTGAGCTGGTAGAGAATATTGTGTCCCTGGGGATGACCTTGGGCCTAGAGGTGACTGAAGATGATGTGGAGGAGTTGGTAGAGGAGCACAGAACTGAGCTCACCAGAGAAGAACTTGTAGACCTTCAGAAGCAGCAGCATCAGACTGCAGTGAAGGAGCTGTTATCAGAGGAAGAGGAGGGATGATGTGCCCATTGCACTTGTCAAGGAAATTTGTGCTAAATGGTGTGAAGTGCTGGAGTTTGCTGAAAAATACCATCCAAAGTAGTAGCCATCTGTTTTGCTAACATGTACAATGACAGTGTAATGTCTCAATTCAGACAAGTGTTAAAACAGAGCCTGAAACAAACCTCACTGGACAGGTTTTTAGTGAGACAAAGAACCAGAGCCAGAACAAGGTGTTAGTGGTGAAAAAGAGACAAAGAGAAACAACACCACAAGGACAGTTGCCTGACATATTAATAGGCAACTCTCCTTCTCTCCTCTCCTCCACCTCCTGCTTCTAGTTTGCTCTCCTCTGACAGGTAAGAGACAGTTAAATTTCCATTTACCGTACAGTATTTCAGTTAAAGGTTTTTTTTTTCAGTATTCATTTTTACAGTTTTTTGAAGTAGTACATTTTTAATTATTATACAGTAAAACTCCAGTCTGAATATCGTACAATTTGGATTTCAACCACGTTTTTCAGGGAATTTTTTACTCCAGGTTTCGTACATCGACTCGGAAATCGTCTAACAGACGCCTGACTCAGTCCGCCTCTGTCACTTGTTGAGTGAACAATACTCCACATGATCATCCTTTGTTTTAAGTGCTTGTTTATTGAGTACAACAGCAAAATAAGGCACCATGGAGCCAAACAAAGTTCAGAGTGCCAGCCCTCTGATAAAGGTTAAAAACACAACAGAATTCAAGAAAGAGTTTGTATCAAGATACGAAAGTGGCGTACATGTGGCCGAGCTCACCAGGATGTATGGGAAGTCCAAGTCAACAATCAGTTCCATCCTGGCAAAGATAGTAAAAATCAAGGAAGCTGATGTTGCGAAAGGGGTAAATATGCTAACGAAACAGAGATCACAAACAAAGTCTTGTCTCATTTTGGGTAAATCTTAAAAAGATGCCAGAAACAGGCCTCTTTGGACAGATTTTTTGTGTGACAGGGGTGCAGCGACTCTCAAGCTGGTCCGTGCCAGTAAAAGACAAAGGGAAGTAACCACAGATAGGGCTTTGATACCTGAAGTCCTTATGGAGGGGAATTCCCCTTCCAAAAAATAACCTCACCTCTCTCTCTCTCCTCTCCTCACTTTCTTCCATATGCCAACAAGAGTCTTCATTAAAGGTATGTAATAGTGATTTAAATGTTCATTTATCCATTAAAATTAATGCTTTATATTTATTTCTTATTATTTTCTGTATGTAAAATTATATTCTCTATAAAATGTATCTTTTGTTAATATTTTTGGGTGCCTGGAATGGATTAATTGGATTTATATTATTTCTTATGGGAAATATTACTTTGGTTTCCATCCATTTCAGATATCCACCGATCTTCTGGAACGGATTAAGGACAAAAACCTGGGTGCCACTGTATTGTCATTTGGAGTTTAGAACCAATTAATTCTATTTGCATTATTATTTATGGGAAAAACTGCTTTGACTCGTCCATTTTGGTTGGCAAATCGACATCTGGAATGAATTAAATTCGACAACCGAGGTTCCACTGTACAATGCACTGACACAAAGCCCATTTCTTGGATAAAATATTTTTATTAAAAGACTACATAATACTGCTTTTGTATCCTTTTCCAATGATGTACTAGTCATTTGTAATAAAATTTTACGAGTCAATAATATGAAAATAATACACAATCTTGGAAATATTACATTCCAAAAATATTATCACCTAAAAGTCACGAAAAAATTAAGTAATCACAGTTTTAAAAAATTTTATTAATATTTAGGGAGAAGCATTAAACCAGCAAGGAGAGGTCATGCAGCACCTGTAGAATGGGAAGCAATGAGGTTTGATCCAAGGAAGTGAAGGACAAGTCCAATTCCTCAGATCAGGAGCCCCTCACCAGCATCAAGGAACCTTCTCTGAAGGGGTAATTAAAGTTTTAAAATATAACTTCTGTACTTAGTTACAGTCATTATTTAAATTGCAACTTTTATGCCAAGTTTCCAACACTCACATAAGATAGATCACAGTACAGATAATTAAAATCTCACCTTGCTCGGCTCCCTGATCTACTGCGAGATCGAGAACCACTCCCAGATCTGTTTCCAGATTGTGATCTACTTCCTGATTTACTTCTTGATCGTGACCTGCTTCTAGAATGGGACCTGCTCCCAGACTTGCTTCTTGAGCGAGATCTGCTTCCAGATTTACTTCTCGAACGAAATCTACTTCCAGAGCCTGATCTACTTCCAGATTTGCTTCTTGAACGGGATCTACTTCCAGATTTGCTACGTGAACGGGATCTGCTTCCAGATTTGCTTCGTGAATGGGATCTACTTCCAGATTTACTTCGTGAACGAGATCTGCTTCCAGATTTGCTTCTTGAACGGGATTTGCTCCCAGATTTGCTTCTTGAACGGGATTTGCTCCCAGATTTGCTTCGGGAACGTGATCTGCTTCCAGATTTACTCCTAGATTTGCTTCTGGAGTGAGATCTGCTTCCAGATTTACTGTGGGATCTAGATCTGCTTCCAGATTTGCTTCTAGATCGAGATCGACTTCCTGATTTACCACGAGATCGAGAACGACTACGTGAACCGCTACCTGCTCGACTGCCAGACTTACTCCGTGACCGTGACCTGCTGCGGGATCTGCTACCTGCTCTACTTCCAGATTTGCTACGGGAACGAGATCTGCTACGAGAGCCACTCCCTGCCCGGCTTCCAGACTTGCTCCTCGACCTGCTTCTTGACCCACTGCCAGCTCTGCTTCCAGATTTGCTTCTTGAGCGACTGCCACGTCTACTACCTGACTTACTTCCACCTGCCTCTGGCTCAGAATCTGAAGCACCAAACACTTCTTCTGATACTTTCTCTTTCTGTTCATCACCAGGTGCAGGAGAACTCTGAGGAGACTTAGAATTTGTTTTCTGAGGTTGTGCCTCTTCATCATCACTATCCATGACTGACCGCCTCTCCTCAACTTCAACATCACTCCCACCACCTGACCTGAAAACAAGATGTCTCATAAGTCCATACAAAATGATGCAATTCATTAACCCTTTCACTGTCTCCCACTTGAATCTACGCTACTGATGCCAGCATCACTTGTGTAGATCTAAGTTTTAGTCACAGCACCCCTAAATATGCTGCAAGCAGTAAATTTTTGGCCTAAACATAACAGAATGGGTCTATGCTATGAGTATGCACAGCATAAAAAAAATCCCATCCCATGAAGTGCATAATGAGAAAATCCAACCTCTGACCTTGTGTTGGATTGAACTTAGCATTTTGAGCTGCTTTCTAGGGATGTTTTTATAATTTTACTGGCTGTTTCTTACTAATAATTAGTAGAAGGAAGACACACGAGTGAAATATAGATGATTTTGGTTGGTTTCAGGACTGGAAGCAGTTTACAATAGGGATAAAATTAGCCAGAATTTTGGGCAATTTTCCTGAGGAAGAGTAGAGCCCCCCGCCTGTGTTATGGTTATTTTTTTTTTTTTACTAAGTCTGCTTCAATTATTGGGATGACCTAAACCATGACCAATCATTCTTGGATATATTTTATAATCCAAAAGAAAAAGGATAAAACATTTATTTATTTTTTTTTGGCATGGTTCAAAATGGGAGGCAACTGTTTTATAGGAGAGGCCTGGGAATGTAATTTATGAACAGAAGATAGAATTACTTTAGTAGCGGGAAAACCTACAGTTTTCATATTGGGCTACTTTTATATCAGAATTTGTTGAAAATTATTTGGTGAATTTTGTGTCAAATTACAGACTTCTTTGCACTTGAACGAGTGGTTCCGATAGCTGAAAGAGTAGTTTCTCGTGCTCAATCAAGAGAACAGAAAACATATTGGCAAAATGGATAGGGATTTGGGAGGTGGGCAATGGAACTGGCTTAACCCTTTGACTGTTTCGGTCTTATATATATACGTCTTACGAGCCACCATGTTTGATGTACATATACTAAAAAATTCTAGCGGTTTCAAATCAAGCAGGAGAAAGCTGGTAGGCCCACGTGAGAGAATGGGTCTGTGTGGTCAGTCTGCAGCATATTAAAAAAATGCTGCAGCACACAGTGCATAATGGGAGAAAAAAACTTAGACCGTCTTTTTGGATAAAACCCTGACTTTGAGGTGCATTTTCGTATAGTATTTATGGTTGTATTCTCGTTTACTTGGTCTCATTTGACAGAACGGAAAACATATTACAGAAATAGAGGTTATTTTGATTGGTTTTACTATGAAAAGGGCCTTGAAATGGAGCTCAAGATAGGGGAAATGTTCGATTTTTGCCGATGTTCAAAAGTAAACAAATGATGTCATTGTCCAATAAATGTCCAACTAGCCATTCTAATATGCAGTCATGAATGGGTTGACATTATTTATACAATTATTACAATATTATTACAATATTACAGTAGTCTGAATAACAGTAAATCTTCTATATTTTGATTGAATAAAAATTCAAAATAGAAAGCAAGAGGGCCTGGAGACATGACTGATGAACAAAGAAAATTTTATTTTAGAGCCAGGAATGTCTGCATTGTTCATTCTGGACCCATTTTGAAATTGTCATATTTTTTAATTTGCGTGAAATTGGCCAAATTGCAAATTTCTGACCACGTTATTGAGTAGTTGAAATTGATAAATGGGAAGTTTCTTGTACTCAATCAATAGAACAAATGGAGTTCTAAAGAAATAGTTACGAGTTTGGTCGACTGGAACAATAGAATTAGCCGAAAATAGGGCTCAAAGTGGGCGAAATCGCTGATTTGTAAATATTGCCGAGGTCGCTAACTTAGCGAGAGCGTAATTCAGTAAGTTTTCCATCAAATTTTGTTCTTTTGGTGTCATTACTATGAGGGAATGATTCTCTATCATTTCAAAAGAAAAAATTTTTTTTTTTTTTTCAAAATTTTCGATACCAGGAGACACCTCAGGATTTGGGGTTCCAACAGTCAAGGGGTTAAAATAGGAATAAAATTGGGCGAAATCACTGATGAGTAAATTACACCCAAACTACTAAGTTTGCACCTGCATATATCCATAAGTTTTTCCACCAAATTTCACATTTTTGTTGTCATTACCTTCAGAAAAAGATTCTCTACCATTTCTGAAGAAAAATTATTATTAAAAAATAATCTTGGCACTTTTAATTTCAGGAGTTGAAAGAGTGGAAAGATTAAAAAGATCTACTGTAATAAAATTAATTAGCAATGCTGTTAGGCACTGTGCTGCATAATGATTGTTTCCCTTCTTAATATTATACTATACTGTACAGCATTATGTGCAATGGAAATAGAGCTTTTTTTTTCTTTTTACCAGTCGGCCGTCTCCCACTGAGGCAGGGTGACCCAAAAAGAAAATACTTTCATCATTCTTTCAACACTTTCACCTCACTGATACATAATCACTGTTTTTGCAGAGGTGCCCAGAACACAACAGTTTAGAAGCATATACATATAAAGATATACACCATATCCCTCCAAACTGCCAATATCCCGAACCCCTCCTTTAAAGTGCAAGCATTGTACTTCCCATTTCCAGTACTCAAGTCTGGCTATATAAAAATAACCAGTTTCCATAAACCCCTTCACAAAATATTACCCTGCTCACACTCCAACAGCTCGTCAGGTCCCAAATACCATTCATCTCCATTCACTCCTATCTAATGCACTCACACATGCTTGCTGGAAGTCCTAGCCCCTTGCCCACAAAACCTCCTTTACCCCATCCCTCCAACCTTTTCGAGGATGACCCCTACCCAGCCTTCCTCCCCCAACAGATTTATACGCTCTCCATGTCATTCTACTTCGACCCATTCTCTCTAAATGACCAAACCACCTCAACAACCCCTCTTCAGCCCTCTGACTAATACTTTTATTAACTCCACACCTTCTCCTAATTTCCACACTACGAACTCTCTGCATAATATTTACACCAAGCATTGACCTTAGACAGGACATCTCCACCACCTCCTCGCTGCAGCATTTACAACCCAAGCTTCACACCCATATAAGAGTGTTGGTACAGGTTCTCCATCACAAATCCGGCATCACTGGGACCTGTAGTGTCCCGGATTACTGAGTTTGCCGGATTACAGAGTGGTTAGGCTATTCTTTTTTTTTTTTATTATTAACACACTGGCCGATTCCCACCAAGGCAGGGTGGCCCGAAAAAGAAAAACTTTCACCATCATTCACTCCATCACTGTCTTGCCAGAAGGGTGCTTTACACTACAGTTTTTAAACTGCAACATTAAACACCCCTCCTTCAGAGTGCAGGCACTGTACCTCCCATCTCCGGGACTCAAGTCTGGCCTGCCGGTTTCCCTGAATCCCTTCATAAATGTTACTTTGCTCACGCTCCAACAGCACGTCAAGTATTAAAAACCATTTGTCTCCATTCACTCCTATCAAACATGCTCACGCATGCCTGCTGGAAGTCCAAGCCCCTCACACACAAAACCTCCTTTATACCCCCTCCCTCCAACCTTTCCTAGGCCGACCCCTACCCGCCTTCCTTCCACTACAGACTGATACACTCTTGAAGTCATTCTGTTTCGCTCCATTCTCTCTACATGTCCGAACCACCTAAATAACCCTTCCTCAGCCCTCTGGGACAACAGTTTTGGTAATCCCGCACCTCCTCCTAACTTCCAAACTACGAATTCTCTGCATTATATTCACACCCCACATTGTCCTCAGACATGACATCTCCAATGCCTCCAGCCTTCTCCTCGCTGCAACATTCATCACCCATGCTTCATACCCATATAAGAGCGTTGGTAAAACTATACTCTCATACATTCCCCTCTTTGCCTCCAAGGACAAAATTCTTTATCTCCACAGACTCCTAAGTGCACCACTCACCCTGTTCCCCTCATCAATTCTATGATTCACCTAATCTTTCATAGACCCATTCCGCTGACACTTCCACTCCCAAATATCTGAATACATTCACCTCCTCCATACTCTCTCCCTCCAATCTGATATCCAATCTTTCATCACCTAATCTTTTTGTTATCCTCATAACCTTACTCTTTCCTGTGTTCACTTTTATTTTCTTCTTTTGCATACCCTACCAAATTCATCCACCAACCTCTGCAACTTCTCTTCAGAATCTCCCAAGAGCACAGTGTCATCAGCAAAGAGCAACTGTCACAACTCCCACTTTGTGTGTGATTCTTTATCTTTTAAATCCACGCCTCTTACCAAGACCCTCGCATTTACTTCTCTTACAACCCTATCTATAAATATATTAAACAACCACGGTGACATCACACATCCTTGTCTAAGGCCTACTTTTACTGGGAAATAATCTCCCTCTTTCCTACATACTTTAACTTGAGCCTCACTATCCTCGTAAAAACTCTTCACTGCTTTCAGTAACCTACCTCCTACACCATACACCTGAACATCTGCCACATTGCCCCCCTAAACCACCCTGTCATATGCCTTTTCCAAATCCATAAATGCCACAAAAACTCTTTAGCCTTATCTAAATACTGTTCACTACATGTTTTCACTGTAAACACCTGGTCCACCCCCACCTACCTTTCCTAAAGCCTCCTTGTTCATCTGCTATCCTATTCTCTGTCTTACTCTTAATTCTTTCAATAATAACTACTAAAACACTTTACCAGTATACTCAACAGACTTATCCCCCTATAATTTTTGCACTCTCTTTTGTCCCCTTTGCCTTTATACAAATGAACTATGTATGCTCTCTGCTAATCCCTAGGTACCTTAACCCTTTTCCATACATTTATTAAATAATTGCACCAACCAACTCCAAAACTATATCCCCACATGCTTTTAACATTTCTATCTTTATCCCATCAATCCCAGCTGCCTTACCCCCTTTCATTTTACCTACTGCCTCACGAACTTCCCCCACACTCACAACTGGCTCTTCCTCACTCCTATAAGATATTATTCCTCCTTGCCCTATACACGAAATCACAGCTTCCCTATCTTCATCAACATTTAACAAT